TGGGATCCGGCGAGAAAAACCCCGGCTTGAGAAAAAAAGGTTCTTTACAAGTGGCGCCCGAGCAGGGACCCTGAATACAACGTAGGAAACTTCGTAATATAATAATGAGTAAGGAGGATCCGATTTTAGCACGAACCTGGTTGGTCACATCACAGAACTCTTAACTCGAATAAAACGAATTTAAGAACTCTGGAAGGAAAAAATATATCAACGTATATCACACGTGGAATACAAAGGGGCAGATATGAGTCCTACAATGCGCTCATCCATTCAAACGATAGAACATGTGGAAAAATGGTCCTTCAGATATGACGGTGGTGAGGATCCATTGAGTTTCATCGAACACATAGAAGAACTGGCAGACAAGTATAGCATCGATGTAAACTTAATTCCACGCACAATGCCCTTACTTCTCGAAAATAATGCACTGATATGGTATCGCAACAACAATTGTCGTTGGCAGTACTGGACACATTTCAAGGTTGATTTTCTAAAGTTTTTTATCCCGTCTAGATTCTTTAAGCAAAAACAAGAACTACTGCAATCCATAGCCATCGAAGAACAACAGCAGCAAGTTAAACAACAACGACAGCAACAACAGCAGACTAATCAACAACAAGAGCAGCAAGTTAAGCAACAACGACAGCAACAGCAGCAGACTAATCAACAACAAGAGCAGCAAGTTAATCGACAACGGCAGCAGCAGCAACTACAAGATACGCTAGAACACGGCGTACAACAACAAGATCCAAGACCTACCAAAGTGAAAATACAGCGAGATCCAAGGCCTATCAGAGAGAAAATACAGCAAAATCCGAGACCTATCAAAGTGAAAATACAACAAGATCCGAAATCTACTAAAGCACCAAAGTTACAACAATACCGAGATCCAAGTCCTATCAATACAACACCTAGCCGAGATTCACAGCAACCACAAGACACGCTAGAACACATCGTACAACAACAAGATCCGAGACCTATCGAAGTGAAAATACAGCAAGACCCGAGACCTAACAAAGGGAAAACACAGCAAGATCCGAGACCTATCAAAGTACAAAAGTTACAACAACTACAAGGTACACAAGAGCAAATAGTACAACAGCAAATAAAATTTATTGAAACACAACAAGGCCAACAGGAACAATTACCATACCAAATTAAGGAACGTTGTCTCGAAACAGATGACAAAGTCAGCACAGAAAACCAGCAACGGCAAACGAAAATTTGTTGTACAACCCAACCGGAGAACGATCAGATTGTCACCACGGCCCAAGACGAATTTTATAAAATATTCAAAAGCCCGAAGAAACGTTATAGAAGCCAAGCACTATAATTTACGACCCAGAGCATGGAAACCACAGATTGGCGATATGGTTTTAGTCAAAACACATCCGCTATCCAACGCTCAGGCTCATTTTGCTGTAAAACTAGCCCCAGAACCACCGCACGCAGAACTTTGGGAACGGATACAGAGGGACGCTCAAAAGTTAAAACGGGGCCGTCGCCATGTTTTTTATGTGCAAAATCAGGAAAAAAACATAAGGTGCTCATAGCAAATTCTGGTGCCATCCGGGTCGTTCCCCTTTCCAATGAAGGGAGGGAGTGTGACGATTTTTTCCAACACGTCACAAATAAATTATGATAGTTGAAAATAACATGAAGTTATTATAGTAAACAAATAAAAAAACCCAACAACAGAATTAAAACTATTTTTAGTCGAAAAATATATATAGCATGAAGTTATTATTATTATTGTAAACAAATAAAACAATAGAATTAAGCTAATATTAGTAAAACCAAACCCACGAAAAAAAATATTAATCTAAGCTATGAAAAAATATATAAAGTATTAATAAAGTAAAAGGAATTATTTTAGAAAGTAAGATAATAATAAGTAATTATAAATTATCATAGAATTCAGTTATCGAAATTAAGAGAAACAATTAATCTCTTGAAAATACAAATTAAGTAATAATACTTCCGATTTCTTTGAGGGTAATTATTTTTACAAAATTTTAATAATAAATATGCAGCGAACAACAACAGCAGAACATAGCGAAATCAGTAGCAGGGAATAACAACTTTGAAGAAAGCTACACAGTATGCACTCAGAAGTCAGTTATCCCGTTATATAAAATCCGTATAAAAGGAGAAGCAAAGTAAAACACAGCGACTTGGCCACAGCACTTCGAGCAGTGCACATCACCAGAGGGACTTGGCCACAGCACTTCGAGCAGTGCACATCACCAGAGGGACTTGGCCACAGCACTTCGAACAGTGCACATCACCAGAGGTTCAATCACAGGTCGTGAAGCAGAACACTTCACAAGGTAATCACAGAGGTAATTATTAAGTCATAGAACTGATTCCTAGCAACACAGCCCTATCGGTAGTGTTGTTTCCTAATCCCACAGTGTAGCCCAGTCGGTAACACTGAACCTAGCAACACAGCCCTATCGGTAGTGTTGTTTCCTAATCCCACAGTGTAGCCCAGTCGGTAACACTGAACCTAGCAACACAGCCCTATCGGTAGTGTTGTTTCCTAATCCCACAGTGTAGCCCAGTCGGTAACACTGAACCTAGCAACACAGCCCTGTCGGTAGTGTTGTCTCCTAGCCTACCTTTAGTCATTCTTTTGTGTTCTCTTATTTACAGGAGTTATATTAATTGTCCGTATTTATAATTACAATAAAATATCATTAGTACATAAGTATAACTATAAATATTGTAATAAATTTATTTTAAGAAAAATAATAAAAACCACGAAACTAACGAAAATAGCCCGTTTTTTAATTACGAGAAGATTCAGGGTTACAGAGAAAAAATATTCTTGTAACGACTCTGGGATCCGGCGAGAAAAACCCCGGCTTAAGAAAAAAAGGTTCTTTACAATATGTAAATATTGCAATTTTATTGTATTAAACTATTTAATCTTATACACAGTAATCATATACATTTTTATGTGTATAATACTTACACACTTAACCTTATCAAAATAATAATTATTTGTATTGATATTTCTGTGTTTTATAAAATAAAATGACCTACTGATAATAACTCTTAGACAAATTGTGTTAGTTTTGAGAAGAGAAATACTGTGGCAAATAAGAAAATATAATTTTATTTTACCCAAGTGTGTTGATCGAACACTGAGAAATAAACTCATAAAATCGTTCTAAGTCTGCAAAAGATAATAATCTAATTTCTCGTTAAGCTGTTCTTTAGTGTC